TGTCTAAGGCTTGGCAAGTTGTAACCATGAAATTTGTAGATCAGCTCAAAGTTCTGTCACATATCCATTATAAGCTATCTTTTTTGGTTTCAGTAAGCTGTCTCTATTAAAATGAAAAAGAACATTTAGGGAATATTTGCACAGTATTGAAATTAGAATTGACCTATAAAACCCAGAGTTTCCATCAAGGTTTTATACATTGTTGTATTAGAAGCTTAGCACTATTGATAAAAATGCCTTTTTTAAAGTACCTCCTACTATGTCCCATATTGTGCTGGGCATTTTACAAAACTCACAGTATTTGTTAAGATCCCTAATGTGCAGAAGGAGCCCTGATAAAGTAATATGGTATATATTGGGCTGCCAACTGAAACCATCAGATGCTCCTTGGAAGAAAGATGAGCAGGCTTCCCATAAAGATTTATAGCCCCAGAACCTCCAATGGAGGTTCACCATGACTCCAAGGCAGTGGTTGTCTTCTTTCAGTCTACTATGTGCAAAGCCAGAAATTGCCGCCTCCTATAGTGTGTTTCTTAAGAACGGTCTTTGGGACCACCTATAGTCACAATAGAACTTCTGCTGTTAGTACTGCAAAACACTCTAATTCTATTTGTTATTTGATTGAAAAAAAAAAGTTTATGCAGAGGGCCAGCTTAATGTCCGTATTGTAACAATGCATCAGTTGCAGTTATGGCTGGAGAAGTAGTCAGCAGCTTTCTGACTGCATGGTTGGAGAGGCCAGCATGTTCCTGTTTGGATTGTGGCTTTGTTTAGAATTAAGAGGCTTATAAAGGAAGCCATAGAAACTCTGAGTTTTCCAATTGCCGTCGTTCAGGAAACAGGGCAGTTAGTCAGCATCTATTGTCCTGACTAGATTGTTTGATATAATTTCAAGACAATCTGAAAACACCACACAGCTAAATTATGTGGTTATTCAACATCAAGCTTGTTCTTATTAAAGATATGCTTTGGGGAACAGTTGTAGGCAGAGCCTTTCTGTGACTTTCATAAAATAGCTCTTTCTTATATTTCATTAGATTCCATACCCTTTAACAACAAGAGATTGATGTGAGACGGGGGAAAAATCTTTCTCTTTGGGCTGATGGTCTGCAGCCATCTTTTCAACTGATTATGTGACTGTCCTGGGAGCATCATTAACTATGGTAATATGTTCCCACCACTAGGGAGCTCTGGTGGGCTAGTGGCAAGAAGCTGGGCTGCAATTCCAAAGGCACGTGATTCAAGGCCACACACCGCTCCAGGGGAGACGAATAGGCAGTCTCCTCCCATGTGATGAACTGCCTCTGAAAACCCACTGGAGGGTGGGTCAGTTCCAACTCTATGGTATACAACAAGCACAGCCACACAGGTGCCAGGTACTTGGAACCGGTTCAGGTTAGAGGAGTTAGAAAACCTTTACTTGCAGTTGGAGTGTCAGCCCATGTAAATGTGTAAATGTTATTCAGAGGCTCCTGTTGAAATCACTGTTGGGGTTTTGTTTTGTTGTTTTTTTTTTTCTTCCCAGCCTGGGGTCATTGTGTGAAGAGCAGTGCCTTGAACGTTGGATTTTTCTTTCCATTTTAGCTAGTTGTTGGAAGAAATGACAAATACCCCAACTGAGAGATTCTGATTTCTCAGAGCACACATTCTTTTTGTTGTTGTTCTTGATTGATGGTTTTATTTATTGACTAGAATTTAGCACTTGACAGTTGTATTTGCATATGAATGCAGAAGCAATATATTTTGAAAGATGTCAGACACAAGAGAGCATGGGTCTGTTATGTGAAGGTCATGAACAGGCAGAACTAATCAAAGGCACTAGAAGGCAGAGCGTGGTTAGCTCTGGGCATGTTGGAAGAAGACTAAAGCCAGATAATGTCTAGCTGATCCCACTCAAGGCACACGTGCGTGTGTGATGGTAGAACTATTCTACCAGCTTTCACCCCGAACATACCAGAGGCTGCTAGCCTGTCCCTTTGAGGGTGTCTCAAAGGGAGTGTCACACCCCAGCCACACCCCTGCTGCTGACTCATTCTGGGTATGGGGACAGGCCACTTTTTTAAAAAAAGCTCTCCACATGCTTCTGACGTGTACCTCCCACCAAGAACCACCCTTGTAATGATTCTCATGTATCTTTAAAAAAATTTTAAAAAAATGTAGCCCACCTCAAAATCTTAGATGAGGACTGAACAATAAATTTGACATTTAAATTCAATATGGTTAAAGCATTACTGAACACATTTGTTGTCTTTGGTAACTTTTGTATTACTCAGAAAATGAAGCACCGCTTAGGATGACATTTTCATTCAAAAGGGCAAAGTGAGGGTGGTGGGTGGGTGGAATTTTATAAATGACAGAACAAGTTTTCTTCTACTGTCAAAATTTTTTCTTAATATTTGACACTCCTTATCTTTATCTGTGAAGGAGCGATACTGGTAAAGCTTATCAGGCAGGCTACTAGCCAAAAGAGCAAATCCACCAGCTGCTCCATAGGAGAAAGATGGCCAGTCTCCTTAATGTACAGCCTCAGAAACCCAGTGGAGAATCACAGTGACTGTGTGGACTCACTCAATGTTAGTAGGCTTGGTTCTTTAGAATCCTCTAGTGACCCCTAGTGGGAAGGAGCTATCCTATCAACCAGCTAGAGGCTCTGTGAAAGGATGGGCAGTCTTCTTTGGACGATTTACAGCCTCTGAAAACCTTTTGGAAGGTCACCTATGAGTCAATTCCAACTTACCAGCACACAATATCAGTGAAGAAGTCTGAGTAGTGCTGTGTTTAAAGTGCTTGATTGCTAACCCAAATAATAGTGGTTTGAACTCACCAGCCACTCAGCAGGAAATATCAGTGGACACTTGCATAATGAGACCAGATCAGGCAGTTCTCCTTTAGAACACTGTGAATCACAATGGACTTGTTGACATGAGTTTGGTTTGGATCCTTATCTACAGAAGAACACCAATCTGCCTGGAGCTCCTTAAGTTTGACATAGGACTTAAATCATGCATAGGACTTTCTGAATGCACCTTTGGGTTTGCAATCTACACATACTGTGTGCTTTTTTGTGTTTCTTTTTCCACTACCACTTCTTAGTGTCTGTGGTTCCCCGAGGTATCATTCTCAGGGTGCTGATATGCTTTTTTTGTTTTAATTTTCCCCAAGAGCTGCTTTACGTTGCCATCAAGTTGATTCCTCCGAGGATATCCTATATGTGTCGGAGTAGAATGGTGCTCCGTGTTTTTCAGTGACTGCTTTTTTTAAAAAGTAGGTCACTAGGCCTTTATTCCCAGGCACCTTTAGGCGTCCTGAACCTCCTACCTTTCATTTAGCAAAGCATATTTACTATTGGCACAATATACTTCTCTGGTCCTGATGTCTGATTTTGCGTGTCCGTTTATCTGTGGTTTGCTAAGGTGCTTCTTGTTGTTAGGTGCTGTTGAGTTGAGAACGTCTCATAGTGACCTTGAACAACAGATCGATCTGAGCCCTGTCCTTTCCTGTGCAGCCCTTACCATTTCTGACCCACTTACGCCCATTGCTGCAGTCTTTGTATCCAGTCAATCTCATTGAGAGTCTTTCTTTCCTGACTCTGCCTTTTCAAACATGGTATCTCTTTTCAAGGAATAGTCTCTCCTAGTAACGTGCCCCAAATGCATGAAACCAAGTTTCACCTTCCTTGTCTCCAAGAGCACTCTGGCTGTACTGTTCCTGAGACATACCTGTTTGTCATTTTGGCAGTCCATGGGATATTCAGTACTCTTCTCTCACAGCATAGCTCAAAGGCATCAATTCTTCTTTGCTCGTCCAGCTCTGAGATGCGTAGCAAATGATTAAAAAGACCGTGGCCTAAATCAGGTACACCATAAAGATTTACAGCCTCAAAAGCCCCAAGGACAGTTCTGCTCTCTCCTTCAGGACTGTGATGAATTGAAATTGACTTGATGGCAGGATGTTTGGTTTTTTTAGTTGAGTGGTTTGTTATTTACTGAGTAGGCTATTGGCATCACCTGGAACCTTGTACAAAGTGCAGACACTCTAGCCCGCCCTAGATCTATGGCCTTAACCATATCTTAACAGTTCTCTGTGGGTATAAGTATTACCAACATCCTCGCCCCTCTGTGAGTTAACTTCTTACTCTTTTCATGATCTCTTTTAATGAATTTAAGTTCTTAATTTTAATGTAATTCAATTTATCAGTATATCTTTTCATTATTTAATTAATATGCATATTGTATTTGGTCTGTAAAATCTTGAAAAAACCCTCCATTCTTCTCTGCTCTATTCTGACTCAAAGCAACCCAATGGAACAGAGTTGAACTGTCCCATAAGATTTCCAAGGCTATAAATATTTATATAATTGTATTGCCACAGTTTTTCCTCACAGAGTGGTGGATAGGCTTAACCACTGACCTTTTAGTTGACAGCCAAGAGCTTGTAACCGCTGCAACTCATAGCGACCCCATGCACAGTATTTCTGAACTCTGCTCTATCTTGAGTCAATCTCACTGTCTCTGACACACTCACCTTCGTTACCGCAGTTACTGTATCAATCCATGTCATCCAGGTTCTTCCTCTCCTGCACTGTCCCTCTACCCTTCCAAGCATATTGTCTTTTTCCAAGGACTAATCCTTCCTTGTCAACTTGTCCAAAGTATGTCAGATGGACCTTCAAAATCCTTGCTTCCAAGGAGCAACATTAGAATAAACAAATATATAAAATACACAATAAAAGTTTGGAAGCCTGAAAACTATAAATTACATAAGATATAGAACAGGGAAGAAAGGTGATTGTTATAACTGAGTAATGTATTTTTGCTTCCAGCGTCTTAGACTTCAGGATCAAAGGGGAACACATTTTGTTATCTTCAAGTTACCGCAGAGGCTCTTGAAAGCATCAGTCAGACATGTGTGAAGGGACTTGATGGGCTCTGTGGTACATTCACCTGTCACTGATGATTTGCACATCAAAGGACTAACAAGTGTATCTTGTGTTACAGGTTATTCGACGATAGTTATGACCTCCCGGTTACGTGCGTTGGGTGGAAGAATTAATATACGCACTACAGAATTACCCAAAGAGAAAACTCGATCTGAAGTTGTCTGCAGCATCCGCTTTTTAGATGGCTTGGTACAGACCTTTAAAGTTAATGTAAGTTTCCCAGATTTTATTTATTTTTTTAAAATTTATTATTAAGTTCAATGAAAGTTTACAGAGACTTTGGATTTCCATTCATTCATTGTTGCACTTTTCTCCCCTCCCAACCCTCCCCCCAGTACACTACCCTCTTAGAAAAGCAAAAGAAAAATTCTTCCATTGTTTTACAGTCCCTCTCCCCAGTTCCACTCCACTATGCAGCCTTCGCTCTGGACTCCTGTCATTACAAAAATACCTAATCACATATCCCTTTTAAACAGTTTTCTCCCTCATCTGTTTCAATGAAGTATATATTATTGAACCCATCTTTCTCAGTCTTCCCCCAACCCATATGTCAGTCCTGTTTTACAACAGTGGCACCATGTAGTATTTGTCCTTTTGTGACTGAGATACTTCACTCAGCATAATTTCCTCCAGGGTCACCCATTTTTAATAATATTGCATGAGTTCCTTGTTTTTCAGTGCAGCATAGTATTCCATTGTGTGAATATACCACAGCTTCTCTATTCATTTGCTTGTTGTTGGGTCCTTGGGTTGTTTCCAACTCCTTGCTATTGTGAACAAAGCCGTGATAAACATGGGTGTGCATCTAGATTTTATTTTAACTGAATCAGTGCTCCACAGAAATAGTTATTATCTCTTAGATGGTTTATAGCATGAAGAAAGAAGCGTTTCAGAATGAAAGCTTGATCATTTTTAATGACCTCTTAGAGCTTGTTTGCTGAGATTACACTGGATACTCACTTTCTGCCTTCTATCTGGGCTGTTGTTCTCCTCTCTTTTTGACTAAACTGGACAATTCTCAGATGTTATGTCCTCTGTGTCATCCTTGCTGACCTTCAGAAGCAGAGCTGCTTCTCTGGTAGATGTGCTCTGTGTATGCATTCCTAGAGCCCATAACACATTGAACTAAAAGCTTCTGATTATAAGGTGATGTGCTTCTCATTAAGCTCTGAGCTTCTCAAAGACAAGAATGGTTTCCTTTCCCTGTGCCTGGATCATGACTGGGCACATGATAGGGATTCATTAAATGTTTAGATGGGTTGGCTCCTGTCTAGAGAGAAAAGAGAGTCAGCTTCACAGATGGCAGAGCTCGGAGAGATGCAGAGCCAAAGGGATAAACTAGACAGCTTGTGTCCCAGACCAGCAGTAAGGTGCTTGACCATAAGCCGTGATTGGACAGGGTGGTAGTGTGATGGGAGCCAAGAGAACGCTGCTTGGGAAAGAAGCTAACCGATGGTGGTCTAGAACTATTTTGAAGATGAAGTCCTTGGGATTTGCGGGTAGGTTGGATTTGGGATGTGGAAAAATAGGCCTTCAGTGACTGCAAAGTTTTGTCCTGAGCAACTCTTGAGCTGCAGTTGCTGTTTGTAGTGATAGGAAACACGACAGAAGGCATAGAGAAGTTTGGGGGCAGAAATGACCAATTCCATTTTGGACATAAATAGTTGAATATTCCTATTTGGGACTCCCAAGCTGGTGCAGGTAGAAAACACCGTCTAATTCAAGGGTTAACTGTTCAAGCCCGCTCAGAGGCACTTTAGAAAAAGGCCCTCGCGATCTGCTTCCAGAAAAATCAGCCACTGTGAATGCTGTGAAGTTCTGTTTTGACACACATGGGGTTGCTATGAGTCAGAATCAACTTGACAACAACTAGTTTTGGTGTTTATTCATCTAAGTAGAAGTGCAGAAATGGCAGTTAGATATCCAAGTCAGGAATTCCTGGAACGAGAGCAGGCTACAGATACAAATTTGGATGGGACCAGCTTAGAGATACTATTTCAAGTCATGGCGTTGGATGAGATCACCTGAGAAGTACTTATGAACAAAAAGGCAGGGGCTTGATATTTAAAGATTAAAGTGATGAGAAGCAAGCACTAAAGGAGGATGAGAAAGAGCAGACAGAGAAAGAATCTCTGGGAACCCAAGGTAAGAATGTGCTTTAAGGAAGAAGAGTGATCAGTTCTGTAAAGAAAATACTAAGAGAAGTACCAATCCTTAGTGATACTGGTAGTAAGCCTTCAGCACAGAGCCCTGCATGTGGTGGGTCCCAGCATCCTTGGTTATGAAGGTGGTGGTTATTGTCATGCTGCTGCCAGGCTGCCACCACGAACTTCCAGGCAGTCTGGGCCAGTGCTAACTCTCATTGGGTTTGAGGAATTTAATTCAAAGGCCTGGTAAACCTTAGATTTTCCATCTCTTTGTATTTTTCTACTTGTGGGGCTTGTTTGCACTGCCTCATTCAGACATTTTGGGTTAGATCATCATGACAAGAAGCACCATTGTCAAAGGCACTAATTTGGACAGCAGTTGTTTGATGGCCCCAGGGAGCGAGCTTGGCCACTGGTAATGATCACTGATATCAGCATAGATGACTTTGTGTGCAGTGGGAGCTGGGCGGGGAGGCTGGCTCTTCTAAATGTACCTCTTATTATTTAAATCCAATAATATATATTTTATTGTATTGTTGGAAATGTACGCAACAAAACATACACTAATCCAACAATCTTTACATGTACCTTTCAACGACATTAACAACATCCTTCATGTTGTGCAACCCATCTCACCTCTTTCTAGCTTAGTCACAAACTCATTTGCCCCTAAAGTTTCCTATCTAAGCTTTTGAGTTACTATCATCAGTTTGATCCATTGTAGGCCTTTTTGAGCCACACTTCTTTACTAATTACATTAAATTATTGTTTAAAAAAATTTTCAGGGAGTACTTTTTATTTAAGATTTAAGGATTATCCCTGGGCAACAGTATTAATGGATCATCCAGCCTCTGTGGCTCTAGAAAGTCTGGATTCCATTGAGAATTTGTATTACTGTTTCTTTTGAGAAGTGGTAAGTTCAGTCAAATCAATATCTAAATGAATGAAATACGTATGCACCTAGGCAAAATAGGTACTTTGGTACCCAGGTGACCAGGATGTGCAGTCTGGCCATCTGTCCAGCCAGAAGGGCAAGGCAGGTGGCCTTTTAGTGCTCCTGTTTGCATATCTGTAAAAAAGTTGGTGCTGGGGGGTGGGAGGGAGAAAATATGCAACAGTGAATAACTAAGAGAGAAAGAAAATAGTAATAAAAAGGTTGGTGATAATTTGCAAAGTTGCCTCAAAGATTGGAAGTCATATGTAAAAAGTTCATTTAGTGTTATGTTATGACCTTATAGATGGTCAATAAATATAGTTTTCATTGTTTTATAATATAAAATGATGTTAAAATAGTGGAAAGTTTGGCAGTAGTTAAAGATGGTGATTGCACAGCATGATTAATGTAACTCATTACCTCAAAGTGGATTAATAAAAATAGTGAATTAACAAATATTGTATCATATATATTTTTACACTTTAAAAATTAAAAAGCCAATGTTGGACAGTCCCACACAGCTATTATGTTGAATGAATAAGCTTAAGAGGACAGTTGAAAAGAAAATTGTATCTAAATAATTTCAGCAAAGAGAGCAGATTGTTCTTAGAACATCAGTAAACTGTCTCCTAACTATAGGGCAAGTATTAGAATCTGTGGACCAAGTCATTCCACACCCATCGTGACTCTTCTGGTAGGAAGTGTCCCAGGTGAGGAAGCAGCAGGTGGGGGACCTCAGCTAGGAAAGGGTGCATTCAGGAAATGGGGGGTGTCTCATGCTCCTATACTCAAATAATAGAGAGACTGTCCCACCAAAGAAGTGCCCATGGGGGAAGAATACTGGGAGTTACCTAATTGTCCTCATTTCCTATAACTGTGACCCATTTTCAGGTACATTTTATCAGTTCAAAGACTCAGAAAAAAGCCTACCTTTGCTTGTTCTTTATATATGATCTATTTCTGACTCATATTGTCCTCAAGTTAAGTGGTTGGGTTCAAAGGGCTCCTGTGAAGTCTGCTTGTGAAAGTAGAATTTGCAGTTTCCCAAATGAGCGCGAGCCGTCCCGTTTCCTACCCCTGTGCCATTGTGTGTGCTGGGCCATCTGCTGGAAATGCTATTCCTTAGCTCTAGTGCCCTGACGGACAGGGTCAGCACCTACCCTGCCGTCCTTCCAGCCCAGGTCAAGGTTGCTTCTGCGTTCCCTAGGTGGAGCTGACCGTTGTGCTGTGCTCTTAGGTGTTCACCGCGCCTTGTGTGTTTCACAGCATTCTCCACTATCGTCTGTGACCCTAAGCTTGCCTCTTGGGGAGGACAGGAAAGGGGGACATAGGATGTGTGGCCCCATCCCAGCTCTGTGCCTGCTTTATCGTCCTACAATGTGGAAGGCTTGAGTCCTAGGCTGGGAGTGACGTGTGGCTGAAGCAGCTTCTCACTTCAGATGTGAGTGAGGCGGATAATCCCACAGGCTGACACTTGCCAAATCACTCGGAGGGTATTCTGGATGGCATTTGGGTATTTTTAGCTGTCTTCACTTATGCTGTTAGTAGAGTTTCCCTAGCCTGTGCATAGTTCCATGGCTCCTTCAGGCGAAGGAGGCAACAGGACCCAGCCTGGGATTAACATTTTCCTGTGGATAATCCATGGGCAGGTCACAGAGAGTTTACTGTCGTTATGATGGCTGAGTTTTCCAGTTTACACACCAGCCAGGGGGAATCTCAGCTCAAGGGAAGGAAGAAATCCTAGAAAATGAAATAAAATTCTGCTTGTCTTCAGTCATATTTAAGTAGTTATTAGCTGTAGACCCTTATGTTTTGTATGACTTAAAATTCATTATTTTTTTTCTTTTGCAAAAACATGTATGCATAAATTTAACTCCTCTTTGCCTACAAAAATGACTTCCTCCCCACTAAGCCCACTGCAGCTGAGTCAGTTCTGACTCACTGCAAACCTCCATGGAGTTTCTGAGGCTGTAATTCTTCAGGGAAAGAGACCACACATCTTCCCCACACACAGTGGCTGATGGATTTGAACTGCTGACCTTTTGGTTATCTGCCCGATATGTAACTTTTCACCATGCTCTCTTCATTCTAAAAGATTTATTCACTTGGTGGTTTCTTTTTCTTCTTAGAAACAAGATACTGGCCAAGTTCTTTTGGAGATGGCATACAGTCACCTGGGTGTAACTGAAAAGGAGTATTTTGGCTTGCAACATGGCGATGACTCGGTGGACTGTGCTGTAAGTGCCACCCCTTTAATATGTGCAGAGCTCCTGCGTGGCTTGGTTTTATATCTTATGTTTTCTTACTCAACAGAGATGGCTTGAATCAAGCAAACCCATCAGGAAACAACTGAAAGGTTGGTTTGATATTTTCATTTCTGTTGACCATAACTTCCGACTGTTTCATTGTCTGTTTCTCTCTTCTCATCATCGGCTTGCCTGGATTGTGTGGTACCTGGACTCCAGGCGGTCCAGAATATGTGAGTGAGCTGACTTCTCCCAGTCAGAGTTAGCAGAGATGGCTCCAGGTCAGCCCTCAAAGGTCCTTATCAGCTGTAAGAAAAAAAAGGAGAGGGTCAGCTGCTCAGAGTAAGAAGACCCAGATTTATTTTCACAAAGGAAATTGACATTTCCCAGTCAGTATGAGAGCCGAACAGACAGACACACACTCACTCTCTCTCTCTCCCCCCCAAATATTTTCCAACAACACATTTTACATTCACTGGAAACCAAGACATACCTTTATAATGTCACCAGTCACAATCTGTTTAATCATACGTGCTATTTATTCTGTAAACAAGTTCAGTGCCACAAACTCTGAATTAGCAAACACTGAACATTTGCTCTCATAGGGGGAAATACAGAGGTAGGTTTCTTCAAATGTCTCATCACATTTTCATCAACCATTCAATACATAATCTCATTTGATGTGTGGTTTTTGCTTAAGGATAATTTATTTCAAATGTGTGATTGGTTCATCACCATTAAGCTCACAGCCAGGAACTCACCGAACTAACACACTGGTGTTTTTCTCCACTGGGCACCTCACAGCCTTGTTACACTCAGGAACACTGGTCAGCTCTTTGCCATTTTAAATCATGATATCAGTAGCAAAAAAAGGATGACACAAAATAGACCACAGAAGGGACATTTGTTTATAGTGTGAGACCTGAAACCAGGCAGCAGAGTGTCTCAGGAACATGCACGTCAAGCAGCTCGGATGTTTTACCCCTTTGCACATGCCCACAAATGATGGCGTCAAGGCCTTGAGCATTGATTTTGGGGTTACATATAAATGTTGGCAGATAGGTGAATTCTCAAATACAGAATCAACAAACAGGATCCACGGTAAAAGATTAATCTTAAAACCCAGATCATCAACCCCTAGAATCCCCAGTGAGTATTCGAGCCTGTCTCAGGTGAACACTGAATCCTCAGCTACCCCGCCCTCCACCCTCACCCGAGCAGCTCAGCCTGGTGGTCTGGCCGGGCTTCGTAGTTCCCTTTCTTTGCCTCAGACCTTAGTCACGCCTGGCCCTTCCACAGGGCCGTACGCACCCCTGTGTGCCTCCGCTCATTCTAGTCCTGTTTGGGATGCTTTTCTCTCTCCAAGGAACAAAGTGGTGTAGTAGCTACAATTGGGGTGGCTCACCTAATGGTTTGCAATTCACACCCACCAGCCTTTCCAAGTTGAGGCAGCCTGTTCCGTAAAGATTTATGGGAGCCTTGGATACTCAGTGGGGACAGTTCTGTCCAAACCTGTTGTCATGAGTTGGAATCAATTTGATGGCTGTAAGCTTTCTGAGTTTGGTTCTCTCCATCCAGAGGAACACAGGCCACGCAGTGTTTAAAGGCTTGGCTGCTAACTGAAAGGTTGGTGGTTGGAAACCACCATCTGCTTTATAGGAAAAAAGATGTGATAGTCTGCTCCATAAAGATTCTGGTCTTGGAGACTGTGGGACGGTTCTGCTCTGACCTGTAGGGTCACTGTTAGCCACGATCAACTTGACACCTAACAAACTCTGCAATTTTTCCTTTTTCCCTGTATTCACACCTGACCATTCTTCAGTTTTTCTAGAAGCTAGGACGTTTACCACTACCTGTTTCATGGTTCTGAACACGGTTGTCTCATAGTTAATGCCCTTATCTCCTTCAAATCCCTCAAAATTAGGGCCCCTGCATGTTCCTCTCTGGATCCTTCAAAGTGTATAAATCTACCTGCCGTTCACCCTCAGCCGGTCCCTAAGCACATCTTATGGCAGGTGGGTTTGTACGCACGTGTTCCTCCTCACCTACTCCAGCACTCAAGTGGGAAGGAGTAGTCACTGCTTTCAGCCTGGGAGTAACCTTTCTCCCCTTGACCACTGCCCTCACCTGCAGTGAAGTCCTCAGAGTCCTTTCCTCCTGTGAGTGGATGTGAACTCAAACACTCAGAAATAACCACAGAAACCTGGAGAGCCATTGCGGAGACACACACCTGCCCCGCTTGGATTCACTGAGGAGCAAATGCACACAAGTCATGGCAGCCTTATCATTCATCGTTTCTCCCACTCACTCATTCAGCAAACGTGCAGTCCGACTTCAGCAAGGTCCCGGGGTAAGGTCTGAGAATCCAGGAGCTAGCAATGATATGTGGAGACTCCCAAAAAGTGAGCGATGGTTCTAGTCGAACTGAACACCTGATAGGATGTTCTTAGTCTGCAAAGGAAAACAGGGAAGGCTTCATGTAAGTGTCCATGCCAAGACATGAAGATGACAGGTCATATAAGAGGGAGCAGTAGAAGAGTCGGGCCTCCTAAGGTGGGGCAGTTCAGGGATACTTAGCTGTTCCTTAATGTCCAGCTGCTCGCACAGTTACAGTGTCCCCACAAGTGCCCAGGCATGTGTATAGAGGCTCATTTGTATATGCGTGTACTCCAGAAAGGATTCTTTTCAATCAGGGGTAAGATGAGCAAGGGTAAAGAGAGGATAAAGCCCAGGATGGACTAGAGCAGAGGAGGAGAAACGTAGCAGGGGACCAGCATGGTGGCAGGTGGTAAAGGACTGAGTTGCAGGGAGCACAGAGGTGCCAAGCACCCGGCTGACAGTGAATGCTGAGTACAAGGGTGGAATGGACGCACAGAGCCCAGGGTCTTAGCAACACAATCTGATTGTTTCCTGTTGCTATCTCTTACAAAAAAAATGGACTCATTTTATCAATCCAAGCCTGTCGGCTTTTGGTATATCAATACCTAAAGCCGGAACTGAGTATGTCAGTTGTACAATATTCTCCTGTATTTAATTGGGGGACTTGCTTTGTTTTGAAAGCATGAACTCTTTCCTAGTATGAAAAACTATTTTAATATGTCACAGCAGAACCGAAAACCTCAGTGTACTATAAATCTGGTTTTGCCATGAGCCATGTAGCCTAAGGTAAGTGACTTACATCTCTAAGCCTGTTTGTTTGCTCATGTGTAAAACAGGGTTACCGACAGCAGCGTAGACTACTTGTTATAGCAGTGTTCATGGCCAAGTTCAAGAACGTACATGAAAATCAAAAGTATAAATCACTGTGTAAATGAAAGCTGTTCTTTCTTACTTTAATATGATATGCTGGTTTAAGGATTTTTTTTCCAGTTCCTACTACAGATAATGGTGTGCATGGTTTGTGATAAGCTTGTTATAGTTGATGTTGCAGAAGTGTACTTTTCATAGTCTTGGAGATGTCTGAGACAGTCAGTCCATTTATGCACGCCTTATTTGAAATTAGTCCTTGGATGCTGGAAAAAGCTGTGGTCTAGTGAGAGTGTATCACTTACGAGAGAGTGGCAACTTAACAAACTTTTATTTTTTTTAAATGGAAAATTTAATTTGTTTTTGAAAAATGTTGTAGGAGGTTTCCCCTGTACCCTGCATTTTCGAGTACGATTTTTTATACCTGATCCCAACACGCTGCAGCAGGAACAAACCAGGTAATGATAACCGTTTCTCAGTGTTTTCTGTGTAGTATATAAAACGAGTAGCCTCTAGAACTGTACTGTTCATTTTATAACTTTGGCCAAATCCATTGGGTATACCTGCATCAATGATTATGATCCAGGTGAAAAAATACAAATTGAAAGTTCCATATGTAGGTATTTTAATAGGATAATTAGGTTTTCTTCTGGGGCCCACTTCACCTGTTTTGGTACAATTCCCAGCATGCCTGCTCCTGCCCCCTCCCACCACCTCCTACCTCCCCCGGTCCTCTCCTGCCTGCTGGTGCACACCGTACTTAAGAACACAGAGTTATGTTCTACTAGTACGAGCAGGAGCTGGAAAGTGAATAGGTAAAGCCGTCATCCACAGATCAGATAGCACAGTATCTCCAGAATGCTAGAGTCAAGGCTGCTTAGGCTAACAAGAAGTCTCTACTGAGACTCTTTTATCAGATTCCCACTTGATAGAAAGGAAAACAAGTTGGGGCCCGCTCCTGTCTCAGGTGAATCAGCAGGTGGCAGGAAACCAGGTGAACCAGATAAAGGGCAGAGGGCTGCGATAAAATTGTTTACCCCAGAGGGCCTGGAGCCTACTATCCTGGCCCTATTTTGTGCTGGCACGTGGTTTTTCCGGGTGGGTGACACAAGGAACTTGTTGCTGTTTAAATACAGACTATACAAACTCAACTGTATCTCTACTTTCTCTCCCCCTTGGCAGTTTTATTATTGACACAGTTATTCTTAAGATAGAAACTGTCTTACAGAAAAGAAAAAAAAGCTGTGGTGCCCAGGATTATTGAACCTATTAAATGTATTCTATGGTCATAAGCTTATTATCAAGGAGACAGCGTTAATGCAGATATATACAAAGTTCTGGCTTATTCTTTCTTTCCTTATTTTTTTTCCCAAATGATAGTGGCATGACAAATTTTAATAGGTTTGAAAGCCACACAGTAGTCTGCCATTCTGCTTTGGCCTCTTTACTCTGAAAATAGCTGATACTGGAGATCTGTCTCTATTTACCAGCAAGTTAAATTTTAAGCCAGTAGAGGAAATGTCTTACATAATTCGGTGGGTAACCATGTGGAAATACACATTGTGCTTTTGGTTTTTGTTACATTGGTGAACTGAGGGGTCATATAGGAATGCTTAACAGAGCAGGTCAGTTTGTGCTGATGGACACAAAGGTGGTGGCATTGTCTAGAAGTGTTTGCCATGACCCTGGAGAGTTTCCTCAGAGCATTAGTGAATTTCAAAGTCTTTCAAAGCATGCTTAAACAGTGGCATGGTGGAGAGACAGAGAGAGAGACAGACAGACGACAGAAGACACACACATAGAGTGCGCGCACGCGTGTGTGTGCATGTATGCCAAATCCAGCCCTGTCGCTGTTGGGTGGATTCTGAGCCCGCTTAGCAACCCTAAATACAGAGTAGAATGCTCTCCAGGGAGGGTTCCAAGACTAAATATTTATGGAAACAGATGGCACATCTTTACCCTCCCCCACCCCCCACCCCACTCCTGGAGCTGCTGGTAGACATCAACTTGTGACCTTTTGGTTAGCAGCTGAGTGTTTACCTACCATAACACCTGGGCTTATTAGCTGCTACTTGAGAGAAAAATATGTGTCTGCCTCTCTCAAGATTTACAGCCTTGGAATTCAGTAGAGCAGTTCTGCTCAACCCTTTACGGTTGCTATGAGTTGAAACTGACTTGATGATAGAGGATGTGGTTTAAAATTTATATACATATGTGTGTGTGTGTGTGTGTGTGTGTGTGTGTGTGTATACATGTAGAAATACATGATGTATACATATGCATAGATACAAATATGTACATATATATGCAGAGAGAGGTGTATACAAATACACATATACACACAGAGATGTGTTTATACACACACACACACACACACACACACAAAAGCATGTGTATATATTGTGTGTATATTAGTCTTGAGCAGTAGGTTGGATTTCATCTGGGAAGCTGGGCTCTATGAGGAGAAATGTGGCATCAGGATTGTTAGAAGATCTATCAACAATCTGTGTTAATGCAAACGACACAACCCTGCTTGCTGAAACTGAGGAGGACCTGAAGCGCTTGCTGCTGAGGGTCAGGGACTGCAGCCTTCAATATGGATTGAGATTCAATGTCAAGAAGACAAAGATTCTCACCACTGGGCCAATTGGCAGCATCAGGATGGATGGTGAAGAGATTGAGATTGTTCACAGCTTTAATCTGCTTGGCTCCACAATCAACACTCTTGGCACCAGCAGCCAGGAAATTAAAAGACGTATTGCGATGGGAAAGTCTGCTGTTAGGGACCTCTCTAAAGTGCTCAAGAGCAACGATGTGTCTCTGGAGACTAAGATGCATCTGGTATAGGCCATGGTCTTTGCAATCACTTGTTATGCGTCAGAGAGCTGGACAGTGACCAGGGAGGACAGAAGGAGAATTGATGCTTTTGAGATTTAGTGTTGGAGAAGAGTACTGAGAGTGCCATGGACTTCTAAGAAAACAAACAGATTCAGAGGGTTAAACCAGGCTGCTCCTTGGAGGCAAGCATTCTGAGGCTTCGTCTGACATACTTTGGTCATGTTGTAAGGAGGGACCAGTCCTTGGAGAGGGACATCATGCTTGGGAGGGTGGAGGGCAGGCGCAGGAGGGGAAGGCCCTCTGGGAGATGGATTGATTCAGTGACTGGGGCAATCGGGATGAGTGTGTTGGAGACAATGAGATGGGCACAGGACAGAGCAGAGTTTAGAGCTGTTGTACATAGGGTCGCTATGAGTCGCAAGCGACTCGACAGCACATAACACCACCACCAATTACAACTCAACAATAAAAGAAATATATTCTGCTTTATAATTCAGTATATAAATTGAAACAAACATTAAATGCAAAGTACTCTGAAGTTTTCTAGTCTCTCTTTTTCTCTTTTTGCTTGTAGTGTTCCATGAAACTTATTTTATTAGTACCTAATTGGCTCCAACCCCAAGTATGAAATGTGTTGCTTCTTCTAGTGATTGTCATGCATCACCCTGTAGCCTGGACATGCAGGTTTGGGGCACCCGTGGGCCTCCAAAGGCTTGTTGGAGCTCCACAGTGAGAACACTGGAAGAAGGAGGTCACTTCGAGCCAGCCTGACCTGTACTCTCTCCTCCAGTACCTCTTAGTCACTTTGCATCTGCTTCTATAGCTCATAGGACTGACACTCGTTCCTCCTGGAGCTCACACAGATCTCTCTGCTGAGCTTCCCTTGTCATTTGTGGGACAGTTGAAGAAATGTATGTGTTCGGATGGACAACTCGGAAGGCCAAGTACTGGCTCAAAAGAAGAAGAATTCTCTGGCTGAGTTCTTGCCTAAGGCCCAAGAAAACTCAGTTTGTCCATGTCTCTTAAAGTGTACTGATTCAGAAATTACACGTGAAACTCCGTTATTAGTGTCTATTGTGTCTTCAGGGTGGAATATAGCTGTTGCTCCCTGACATTTGGGTCCCAGACTTCTAATGCAGTGGGAGCTATCACAGTTCTCAGGTTAAAGAGTCCTGTAGAGCGGTGACCCACTAGCACTGCTAGATTTTTTTTTTCCTCTTGCTGAGTCAAGCCTCCAAGATTAATTCACACATCTCTCTTCAGCTTAAATGAAGGCGGAGGCCTTCAACTATGTCACTAAGCCCCACCTTCCAGCCCACCCAAATGTGAGTTCCTTTTTGATGAAATTTCACTCTCAAGAGTCAGAAGAATAATGTAAAGGTGATATTTACTACTTCTGCTCTTTCTTTTTTTTATGGCTCTAGATGGATGATAGTTACTGATTTTTGTAAAATAGAAAAATTTCATGAATGGGGTTTATCCTTTCATTTCTGAAGTAAGGCATATCAAGTATGTCTTCTGAAGAATTCTCCTTTATTCTGTTAAATAAATGTTTTCTGTTTCATTGTAAGCCCCCACAGCTGCTGTTTCTGATAAATGTATTCCATTCTAAACAGTTTCATTTCCCTAATGATCTCAGAGTTAGACTTCTTAGGGATTCTTACCAAGTCTCCAGAGTTGAGCCCCGTTCAGCTACCGTGGTTTCTTTGGGCATGACCCTGTGGGCTTGACCCAGAAGCTCTGTTGAATGTGCAGCAAGGTAGGTAGCATTTGGTGAATGGTGGTCATGTTCTCAGATCTTCTGTAGGGAGATGACTGAATACCCAAGCTCCACAGTGAAGTCCAGGTTTACCATTTTGTTATCGGCCCCTCTCATCCTCTTCTATGCCTCAGTAGCATTGCTAGAGGAGAAAATGTTTCATTCTGGTTGAATGTCAAGTTGGATAAACGTAAAAACAAGCTTGATAGGACTAATTGTGTTCTCCCGAGTGGAAAACATAGGTCCTATTACTGAACAGACAGGAGTCTGCAAATAGGCATTCCACCATCTCTCAATGCGGAGTGTTAATACATTGTGGATAATCATTATAACCAGTTATAATGTCAGATTTATGAGCTTGATCCTAAGCTTCTCAGTTATGGAACATACTGGATTTATAGCATGATCAGTTTTATTTTTTAATAACACAGATGTCCAGATTAAAATAAGACACAGCCGATGCCACATAATCTCTCCAAGTTTTAGTTTCTTCATCTATAAAACAGGAATAGTGGTGTCTGCCTCACCGGGGTTTTATGAGACTGAATGTGCACAGCCCAGGAGTTTACAAACAGGAGGGAAAACGCCTCAAAATATTCCTGTTGCCACAGCCAGTGCCTAGACTTTTAAATACACAATTTGAAGGAATAGTGAGACCCACTTGTTTAAATTGTCAGAATTGTTTCTTTACTGCCCCTGCACACCCCTGCCATGTGTGTATTCTGGTTCAAGAGGTTTCCCTTTCGTCATCTTGGCGAGACACTGGAATGATTGTCCCTTTTGAATCTGGGTTTTAAAAAAGAGTGGGAGATAACAGCCAAGTGTCACATGTGTGCTGCGTCCCTAAATATAAATCTCTACAGGGAACTGTGGCCAGCACTGCACACTGGTGGCCTTCCCGTCCCTTCTGCAGAGAGAGGAGCCAACCTCTGGGCCCCGGGGCTGAGTCAACTGGCTACCTGCAGAACGAGTCCCGTTTATGAACTTGCTTCTGCCGGCAGCTCGCAGACGAGTGCAGGATTCAGCTCGGAGGTCCTGGCAGCCTTTTAGTTTACTGATGTTTATGCTTTTTATTGAGCACCCACAGTTCCCGGGACACAGGAAAAAACCCAGCTGGGTGTTTGCACCCCAGCCAAAGAGATGTCTTTCCAGCCCCTCCTCCTCACAACCACTTCTCCCAGAGGGACTGTGGGTGTGCGAATGCTGGCTCCTTGTTCCCGGCAGTGCCTCATCAGTGTGGGGGCTGCCTGTGCAGAAGACATGCAGGGCCTGGTGCCCATGGCTCCCTGCGTTAGATTAGGATGGTCCGTTGAGGGTGGCCAGCTCCCTGGCAGCAGCAGGAGCCCATCAGTGACAGCATCTGTCTATCCTCTCCCACAGTTCAGTAATGGCCCTGAGAGCATGGGCTGGGGCTGGTGCTGGCGCTGGCTGGACATCACTCCCACCTCTGTTCAAGACAATAACGTGAGAGACTGCTACAGAAAGGGCAGTTGGCTATTGCATTCAAGAAACCCTGATGCTTTAAACAAACCTGTGTTTCTATGAATTCGGTTTTTCAAATGCCCTGGTTTTGTCTTTATCATGTGTGGTTGTTTCCTTTTGAATGCTAATTAATGAAATCCTTTTTTTTTGTAGGCATTTGTATTTCTTGCAACTGAAGATGGATATTTGTGAAGGAAGGTAATGAGAATTTGGAATTCTTCTTTCCTGTCTGTTGCCAGACTAGCAACATTTCCAGTTTTAATCAAATGGGCATGTATTTCTGATAACAGTATTAAACCTGCAAAGAATGCATGTGAAAAGCAGCATCCTGTGAAGCCCCAGCTGTTAGGTATCTGTTTTTAACTCAGACTTAACTAATAGGAGTCTTAGTGGCAGAGTGAGTTATTGGACTGCTAACTGAAAGGTCAGCAGTTTGTAGCCACCAACCACTCCATAAGTCAAAATGAGAAATCTCCTTTAAAGATTTATCACCTCAGAAACCCAGTGGTCACCACGAGTCAGAATTGACTCCATGGCAGTGGATTTGGGTTTAGGTTTAGTTTAGATAGACTAAGGATTGGGGGGAAAAAAGAAAGAACTGTTCACTTCCTGATCAAGAATGATGACATTTTAAAGAGAAGAAGGAAGCCAGAAAGGAAAATGGCTTTCATTCAGGAAGGCACATTAGACCTGATTTGACCTAGGCCTCTTAGTACCTGTGGATGATTCATTTTCTCTCTGGAGAGCTTTTTACTCTAATATGTGAGCATTCGCCTGTGAGTCAGCATTCTGTGCATCAGGACCATCTCAGTGGCTGGAACATATCTCAGAATAACTTAGTAAGAGATAGGAAATGCAAAACCAATGGCCCCTGAGCCACCTTCTGCAAAACCCTTGCTTTTTTTCTTGACTTTTGGAAGAAACTTCAGCAGGTAAACTAGTGGAAAGAAACAGCTTTCTATTATTCCCATTGTCTTCACCCCTCTGCGCCTGTCAGCTTGTTGTTAGGTGCCATCAAGTATAACTTACAATAGAGACCCTGTGAACAGCAGATCTCAACACTGTCCTATCCTGTGCCATCCACATAATTGGTGACATACTCAAGCTTATTGCAACAGTTACTCTATCAGTCCATCTGGTAGAGGGTCTTCCTCCCTTTCACTGACCCTCCACTTTTCCAAGCATGATATGCCTCTCCAAAGAGTACTGTCAGCTTAATTCTACCAAGAAGGAGTTTAGAGTCCAGTTAGGAAAACTAGACAGAAGCCTGTAAAGTGATTAGGATACAGCTAAAACCAGCATGTGCAGGGAAGACCACCATTATCATAAGAGTTTAAGAGAAAGAAAGGCCAATGTGGGCTGGAAAAGTCTTTGTAAGTTACAGTGAGTCAGAATCAATGGTGATTAGTAGAGAAGAGAGGCGGAGTTAGGATTTCCGGGCAGTCAGAAGGCATTTTACCTTTCCCTCATGCCTCTTCATTCCAGTTGGAAACCACTGGAGGAGGACTTATGGTTTAGATTTTCAGGGGGATAAAAAGTGGGCTCTTCATAAAATATGTAGCGTGTCCTGAAGGCAGAAAGCTCTTGGAAGTTTTAAAACAGGAAGGATGTGGTCATAACAGCATCTACAAAGACGGCATCCCTGTCCAGGAGAGGAGACTGGAGCTGGGCTTGTTAGGCATCCTTGAGGAAGCAGATACCCATGCCAGAGACTAGTGTATGACAGTGAAAACAGAGAAAGCAAGGACGGGCAGGATTAAAAGATTGTCGGAACTGTTTGGTTGTCATAAAATTATAGACTGATGGTTGGATGTTGTTTTTTGTTTGTTTGGATTTTTTGGGGGTTTTGTTTGTTTGTTTTTTAATTACTTAGCTCTTCTCTCTCCAAATTGTAATTGTTTCTCTAGTATAACAGATAGATCTTGGGGTCTCTGCTTAACCACTCTTCATGACAGAGAGCTCACCCTGTTAGAAGCAAACTTAGCACCTTTTGGATAACTCTTGGTTGAAATTACCCCTCTCTTGGGCCCAGGCAACACTCTGCATTAATTTGTTTTTCTACCACTCTTTTGCAGATATCTGTTATGAGACGGGTACTGTACTAGACAGATAAGGCATGACCCCTGTCTTCTAGGAGCAAGCACTCTAGCTCACCAAGTACTGGGAAGTGGGTATTCGTATTTTTGTCTTCTCCAAATGAAATATCCCCTGTTCTTTCTTGTGAATCAGTAAAGTCTCTGAAGGCCACACCCTGGCCTAGATCCCTACTGTCCCTGGTTAAGTCTGCAGGTGATCCTCACCACCTCTGTGGAGAGGATCTTTCTCCACCAGATGCTCCCAGGTGTGTACCAGGATACCATCTGGCCACATGCAGCTCTGATCTGCTGATAGGCTTTGTTGAGCTGTAGTTAGCATCTCGCTCGGGTGTCTGGACTCATCCATTGACTTTTGGGCTAGTCAGTGGTAGCCATACCCAACAGATCATCTCCTTTCTCTATGGACAGGACTCTGGAAGTGAGCTAGTTCAAAGCCATTACTTGACAAAAAAAGAAAAGGCTCTATCCAGGACCACATAGCCTGTTTGTGGCTACACTGAGAATAAAACTTGGGCTTTCATTAGGGCCACTTTCCGAGAGTATTATCAACACCATTCTTTAGAATGTGTTTACTTGCTGAGTTCCTCATAGAATTGCTTATTCTAGTTAATCTTAACCGCTCTCCTAAATTATTCCCCCAAATTCCATTCACCTACTCTCCTCTAGCAAAGACATTGGCTGAGATTTAATTGGAGTCCATCATGGTAGGAAAATTAATAGTTTATATTCTTCAAATACAGTTTCTCCATGGGCACTGTGGGTCTCCACATGAGATAATAGATGGTTAATATCCCAAGGAGGATTGAAACTGTCAATGTTTCATCTTGCTTGGATCCACATTCAACACCTTTGGTCCCAGTCAGGATACCAGGAAGTGTACTACTGTGAACAAATCTGCTTTTCAAAGTATTGAAGAGCAATGATGCCAATTTGAAAACTAAAGTGTGCCTGATTCAAGTGATGGTCTTTTCAGTTACTTGATACACATCTGAAAGCTAGACAGTGAATAAGGATGACAGAAGAACAGTTGATGCCTTTGAGTTGTAGTGTTGGAGAAAAGTACTGAATATCCCATGGACTGCCAAAAGAACAGATATGTCTTGAAAAAGGTGCAACCAGAGTGCTCTTTGGAGACAAGCTTCATCTCTCAAACTCTGGACATGTTGCTAGGAGAGACTCTGCCTTGGAAAAGGATATCATGCTTGTAAAGGTAGAGGGTCAACAAAAGAGAAGATGATCACCAGTGAGATAGATTGAAACAGTGACTGCAGCAATGGCTTAAGTGTGTCAGAGATGATGAGGATGGCACAGGATAGAATAGGGTTCAGAACTATTGTTCATAGTGTTGCTATGAACCTTACTCAACTTGATGGCACCTACCAACAACAACCTCCCTCGAGTGTCAACTTGGAGAGATCTTGTAGAAATTCTAGCTGGAACACACAGTTACATAAGGAAAGACAAGGGCGCCTACAGTAGGGAAGTTGCTGTCTTCTGCAGCTTTAGGGCCAGCACCCCTGGCAGACCAACTGGATTAGTCACTAGGGTGGAGTGACTCACATCTTGGGAATCTCAAGGGCCACCATAGAAACAGCATGCATTCTCCACTTCCCGCTGGGTTATTGGGAAGAATACTTTAAACATCTTGGTGCCTCCCAATGTAAGCTGTTAATGATAACTGTTCCTCACACCCCTTCCTACCCTACAAACCTTCACTCCTGCTGTTTCTGAATAGGCTTTCCCCCACTTCCTTCATCTACAAAGCAGTGATTCATTAGTAGAAATCCTGGGAAGACCAGGCAATAGATGGCCAAGTGGAAGAAAGGGACTAATAAGGATTTTAAATAAAAGGGTACAGAGGTGGAGTCACTGGCACAAACAGGGTTTGGAAGGACAGTTTAAGAGGAAAATACTAGTCTAACCTTGAATCTCCTGTTTTCTAGTGGGTGGCGGAATGACTAAGAAAAGTAGACAGAACATTAAGCTCATTAATGTCAGTAGGATTCAGGGATTTACTTAAAGAGTCCAGTAAAAGTCTTATCTCTTTACTGGAAAGGTTGCCCATTCATCTAACAGTACAATTACCGCACTTTTCTTCTTTTTTTTATTATTATTATTATTAAATTTTATTCGTTTCAGTGAACATTCACAGGGATTCTGGGCTTTCACTCCTTCATTGCCGCACCATTCTCTCCACCCTCCTCCCCAGTTTGTTCTTCTTCCCCGCCATCCGAATGTCTGCACTTTTCTTCTTAATGATTTGTGCTTGACCTTTCTTGACCAAGCAAACTTTGGTCAACATTACACTTTTAGCTCCATGAGTATTTATAATAAAATGTAATATAAACATCAGAAGGTTTTATTTTTATTTTAATGTGTTACATTAATATTTTATAATTTAAAATTAATGTGTCATAAAATTGATTTTGTTATTTTGTATGTTTTTAATGGTTAACTCAAGGAAGGACAGACATTTCTTACTCATGCCCTCCGCATGTTTTAGGCTACTGTTTCTTGTGACTTGCTAATGTGTTTTTCTCCTAACAGGTTACCCTGTCCTCTTAACTCAGCGGTGGTTCTAGCATCCTATGCAGTACAATGTAAGTCATGAAGGACGTGTGTTACAGATGGACAGGTTGTTCTGACGAGGATAGTGGGAAAGTCATTGCTCTCTCCTGTTTGACCGAGTTCTTTCACCTTTTCTCGGGGAATCCTATTAGGCAGCTAGTCTTTCCTTTTACCCTGACTTACACTCCCTTCCATGTCAGAGGCCTTATGGATTAAGGAAGGTGTTTAAGGGCAAAGGAGAAGATGAGCTGTGATATGCTTTCCGTTAGGAAAGCCCATCAGACAACGGACAAATATCACACATTTTCCAGAACTTTTGCCTGTTACTGTATTTAATCTCCATAAGCGTCTTGTCAAGGGGTAGTGGTGTTGATGGTAGAAGGATGAGGCGTTATTTCTACAAGTCACTTCTTACAGACATGGACACTGAAGTTCAACAGTGTTAAGGATTTGTTGAAAATCGCTCCTGCTGCTTGCTTTATTCCACTCTAAATTGGTGGCAATTTCTAATTGGGAGTCTTAGCAATGTCTTTTTTTAGTGTTTCCTTGTTGTTGTGTGTTGCCAACTCAGAACTGACCCATAGCTAACCCTCCAGCTACATTTTCAGAGAAAGTAAATCACACAAGAGGAGACTACCAATCTTTTCTTCTGTGGAGCAGCTGGTAGATCTGAACCATGAGTCTTTAAGTTGTCAGCACAACTCCTTACCACTAAGCTACTGTATAAGTAGCAGTGGTAACGTAGGAAAGGCCAACTCTGACTTCTACTTGCTTCATAAAGGGGAACTCTCCCCATCAATATCCATAGTATTAAACAAATATCTACCTGGTTAGACCTGCCATCCCACATGCTCCAGTACCTATTCCTTCCAGTTAGTGGATCCAGTGTGGATCCATGTTTGGTCCAATGTTCATTGTAACTTGACTCACAGACTTTACTCATAGTTGTGGGGTTTATTAGGGAAATAGGTTAGAGAATGGGAGAGGCAAAGAATATCAGATAATGTAAGTCCAGGTTTAGTCCAGAAGTCCCAAATCAGATTAACAAGGCACAATTCCTTAATTAGTGAATGTCGAGGTTCACTTCAGCAGCACAAATGCAAGAGGCCTCTAGTTTCCACAATTATCCAGCAAACTTTATCTCAGAGTTTATCCTTCAGTCATTCAGCATGCAAAACCTTTAACGTTGACTCCTTCTTCGGGGTTCCTCCTTCCAGGGTTTCTCTTCACAGCAGTGCCACTCTCTTCACCCTCTCTCCACCACCATTTTTCATAATGTGGAAAGTGCTCGCTTATATTAGTTCCACAGCTGTTGATGATTTTCAAGACCATATGTCCACAGTTAAGGTAGCTGGAGACCATACCCCCTAATGGGGGCTATCACAATGGCTAGAAAAGCCAATTTTCAAGGATATTGCCACCTCAGCCATCAGAACTCCCTAGAGTTTTATTATAGCATATTGATTATATTCTAGTAATTCTAAACAGTTAACTTTTGTACATGAAATTTCTGGGATAAAAAAATATGTCTAAATTTTAACCAATAATGCTTCACTAAAATGTCTAATACATAGACAGATTTTACCAGTGGTCTATGTACCAAAAAATACAGTTTCTTATAAGATAAAAGAGGTAAGTTGAAGGGAGCTCTGGTGGCCTAGTGGCAAGAAGCTGCACTGCAGTCCCAGAGGTGCACAGTTTGAATCCATCAGAAATGCTCTGCTGGAGAAGGAGAGACAGTCTCCTGTACAGGCGGGTCTGATTTGATGGTACATGAACCAAAAAATAATAATTTTTTTAAAAGAGCTAAGGTGAGATAAAATACCTGGAAAGACTTACTGGTGGGAGATTTTTGGTGGCCTGTCACAAGCTTAGGAGGCCCAAAGAGTAAAATTTTTGAAAGCATGTGTTTATGCAGTCAGTGTTCTCTGAGCCCCTGCCATGTACAGGAACTGCAGCAGCCTTATGGTACAGAGTGCACAGGTGGATGGAGCAGGCTGCAGCCCCTAAGAAGTCTGCAGTCTGGGAAAGAGAGTGGCATAGGGGGAGGGAGAACCAGCCTGGGAAGGAGAGTGGCACAGGGCACGAGAGAACGAGCTGATGGTGCTGGCACTACAGATGAGCACAGAGGGTGCCATGTCTCCAGGAACCAGTTAGAGTTGAGTGAACAGCAGGTAAAAGACTTTCCCAGCAGAACAGCCTTACAGCTTGAAACTTTACACATTTGAAGACTGGGGACAGGCTTTATTGTAAACAGAAAAGATCACCAGCTATAAAAATGCATGAAACTTAAAGACAAAATATTCCCCTGTATAAGCACTAATTTCCTTTTTCCTACTGTAATTAGCTTTTTTGTGTGTCAGCTTCCCCCAAATAGGAAAACTGGTTTAAGTCAGTTTGAGGCAAGTAGTCTTGGCTCTAGATTACCATCTGAGCAACAGTGGGTAAGTCCGTTTTATGAGCCTCAGTTATCTTATCTGCATAATGGGGATAGAGCATTACCTATGATAAAATAAGCACCAAGTGGGATGATGTCATTGAATCCAAATGGAAACCACCCCTGCTTTGCAAATGTTGTGTATGATTTTAAATTTGTTTCCCTCTAGTGGTTAGTACAGAGCTTTTCATTGAGTTGTGGCTTCCAGCTCTAAGAGGGAACCATCCTACATGGAGGTTTATCGTGTGTTAAGTTCAAAACAGTTGTCGGTGAATTAACTAAAAGATAACCTTGCTGCTCATACTGCTTATATGTGCAAAGTGTCACAAGTATTGAGGCTCTTAGCTAATAGAAATGACCAAATGAAGATCCAGAAGGAGCTAATGAAACCAGAATACAATTTACTAGGACAGACACTTGCAGCATTGAGTTGCCCTTTGGGGACACAGACATTGTCCTCAGCAGCTGGCCCTTTCCTGGCAGGAGACTTGGGGAGTGGGAGGAGCTCTAGCTGGGGCTCTGGGCTTGGCTGCTAAAAAGGGCTGCTTTGATAGGATTCTGTCCCTGCTCTTTGGAGCTCAGTTTCTTTCCCTTTAAAATGAAGGGTTTAAAATAGGTATTTCTAAGACTTTCTGAAGCACTTCAGGACCCTGTTTTAGAGCATCCAAATGATTTCATATAAATGAACTATCAGAAATTCTGTTATACACTAACATGAAAGGCAAGTGGTTCAAGCCAACACAGCAACCGCATGGGGGAAAAGACCGGGTGGTCTCCTCCTACAAGGATTAGACAGCCTAGAAAATCCAGAGTATATGGCCAAGCCATACTCAGCTTGACACACAACAACAACAACAGATGCACTGCTGTGCACTTGGCTATATGCATACTCACCACAGTATGCTCTTATCCTGTCATCCTGAGACATTTCCTTCTTTGCCTCGGCCACCTTTGGCTGGCTTTCCTGCCCCATAGTCTAACCTTGACCAGGTCTGTCTACGTCACCTGGCTTTCTGAGCGTCCCCAGCCCTCTCTCCACAACTGATCCTCTAGCCCCACTGACCTCTCCTCGTCCTCTCTGTCCCATACGTCCCTGAATCCTGGATGGTGGGTCAGGATACCACAGTAGTAAGGTTAGCATGACCTCTCTTCTGCCCACACCTGTTTTTTTAGAGCAGGTGGACTCAGTGTTTCAGTCACCTTGGCTTCTGAGGGAAGGAACTATATGCCAGGTACACGCTGACTCAGTAAAGAAAGAGCTTCCACGGTGTCTGGTATACAGATGGTGGCTGGTTTGGTTTTTGTGTGAGTTTGGTTGGGGTTTTGGTGTGAGTCTGCTTAGTTCATTTTATCTTGGTGGATGAGCACAAACTGCTATGCTGACCACAGAGTGTGGAGGAGATGTGGGATTGCAGTAGGACCTCAGTTGAAACACTGTGTCCCCTTCTCTTCCTTTTGTGGCTTTGGGCAAGGTTAAGAATGAGGTTGGATCATGTGCGTGAAAGTACTTAATCTGGTACTGAGTGTCTCAATAGCAAGTGTAGAATCTAGAGCTAATGAGAATTGATACGGTATAAAACTTACAGGAAGGGTGTTTTTCAGTTAGTGTTTCTCTTGGGATGCTTTTGATGCTTGTCAGTATGGCTGATGTCAAAAGGCAACCTAATTATGATCTCCCCCCCACCCCCAATTTTGTCTTCATAGCTCATTTTGGAGACTTTGATTCTTCTGTGCATCAGTCAGGGTATCTTTCCGATAGTCAGTTCATCCCAGACCAGAATGATGACTTTTTAGCAAAGGTGGAATCTCTGCATGAGCAGCACAGGTAAGAGGAGGCTGGGATGGCCCACTTGGGGGAGGTAGGGGAGAATTTAGAGACATTGTATCACCTTGTGTTTGATGTGACCTCTCTTCTTTTTACTCATGGATTCTCTTTCAAGATGCTGGGTGTTTGAAGCTTTGAACTGTTCAGAGGGAGGATGTAGCTGTCCTACATAGCATTTTTGTAGACTATAAAGTCCAGTAGAAATGTAGGATGATAGGTGCTATGTTCCATTTCCGGATTTCATTGAAATGAGCTCATTCCCAGAGGAGATGCATTTTAAAATCTAACTGCGCCAGCCATGGCCCTACTAGGTGAGCCTTTGAGCAGTTTTCCATATAAATAAAATGGGTCTTTCTTTAGGTATTGTTGACAAGACCAACAAAAGCAAAAAATTCAGTGCCATTGAGTCAGTTCCATCACACGACCACCCCTGTGTGACAGGAGCACTGCTTCATGAAAAGACGTGAAATGTTGACATGATTGGGATCAGTTTGTGAAAAGCGCCTTAATTCTAAGCCTCAACTCCAACAAACCTTCTTGTTCTTTCCTCATTGGACTCGAAGCTACAGGAGCAGCTGTTCAATGCTGGTTAAACAGGGGCCAGCCAACCGAGAAGACCAGCTCTCGTGGGACTTCACAGTGCTTGGGAAGGCCATAAAAAAACAAAGGCCAGGCAATTAATATACCTTCTAAAAAGACGCTGCCAAGCCTCTCCCAGGATTACTCCTCCTGAAAAAGTCAGTGTCCTAAAATAGTATCAGGCCAGTGACGTTTGGAAGATTGAAGCCGCTGCTAAGAGTGGATGGGGCGGAAAGATCTAAAGATTGCATGTTCATTAAGCAAGTTGGAATAAGAGAGGTGGGAATTCTGAACGGTGACCACTTTCTATAGTTGAATATTGAGAGCCCACGAAGTGTTTAGTGTTAGTTAAGAAATGAGAGGGCTGGAGAGAAATCTAGTGGATTTAGTGGAATTGAGGATCACATTGTTTTTTTTTTTTAAGATTAATAATAGCATAAGGCATATAATAATCTTAGAGAAATTCTATGAACTTTCTAGATTGTTTTTTAGAACTGAAGTTTGATTTCCTCTTTTAACTGTGTGAACTCTGTATTTTCTCTTCTCTTCTTTAGTGGTCTAAAGCAGTCTGAAGCAGAATCTTGCTATATCAACATAGCACGGACCCTGGACTTCTACGGCGTGGAGCTGCACAGTGGGAGGGTAGGTGATGCTGCTGAGTGTGGGTGTGGAATTTTGGTTTTGACTTGAATTTCTACAGGCTAGAGAACTTTTAGATGAAACGGTTTTCATCAAAACTGTTTTTGCTCCCCAGAAAAGAGTAGCAAGCAAAACACTTTTTTTGATATTTGGAAGGTTTTGTGAAATGATACCTAATTTTACTGTTTATTTATCCATGTTTGCCTTTGTATTTGAAGGTGTTTGCTTTTTGTGGGGTGGAGAAAAGTCAAGGAGACCAAATATAAGTTATTTTGGTGCAAATGTCTGCATTTTATGGCTAAAAAAACCAAAAAATTATTTGTAAGTCCTTTTTACAAGTGATAGTTTAATGAAACAAGAGATTGTCCTACTTAATTTCAAGTGCTGTTCAACTCAACAGCTAGTTACTCAAACATGAGAGTTTCTAAAATTAGTATGGTGTTGATATTGTTAGGAAATTAGCGTGTCTTTTCAATTAGTTGTTCCTGTTTTAATCAGTTGTCAGCATCACGTTTTAATAAAATATAATAGAATTATCTGTTATTTACTATGTGCCAGACACAATGGATTATTTTATTTCCCATAGTAATGCCATGAGGTAGGTACTGTCACTAGCCCCATCTTACAGATGGAGGAAGCAGTACTTGGTACTGAAGCCTATAAATAATAGATCCTTGACCCCCAGGGTTATCTACTAGGCATCTTCGAACGGTGACACACTAACACTATTTACCTACAATTTGGTCTACTTCCAAAAGGAATGAATTACTGATTGAGCACTTACTATTAAAACTGTTATTCCAACAGCTTTCATATTTCTGATCTCATTTCAGCAAACTTGTGAGAGCAGTATTCTGATCATCCCCATTTTTACAGATAAGAAGGCTGAGGCTCAGAGACATTGGTTAAATGACCAAATTTTACATCTTTATAATATTTTGCAATTTATAGAGACACTTCCATTTATTTTGCTTCACTTCAGCCCCATAATAGCCCTGGGAGTTGGGCAGGTTATGACATAGGTTAATGGAGTTAGAAAACGATATTGGATCTTACAGGCTACCAACTCTAAAACTTAACCATTAGTTTGAAATTACTTACATATCATAACTTCTTTTACATAAGATTTTTCTTAGAAATTTATTCAATGATAAGATGAATCTTTGTCTAATTTATGTGGATTAGGCTTTATGTTTTTTAAACTAATTTATGCTATCTTTATCTGCTGTCACTGAGACAGTCATTATACCTTTTGAGGGTCCTAAGGCCAACTGATTACTGACACACTGCCAAGATATCAGAAGGAGTTGAAATATAGACTGCATTAACCAAAACTCTCTAATATCTTTTTTTTATTATTAAATTTTATTAGTTTT